AATGGAGGTGATGGAGGTATGCTTAAGTTTGGCTCTAGTCTAGCTTGTCTTAATAGGGATTTTTTTAAAATTTTTATAATCATATCTTGGTATTATGAATACGATTTGATGAACTCTTTAGCAGCAAATCTTAAAGAATAATAATATAATAGTAAAAATGGTTTTGTTTTCCATTTGGTGACCAAAGTGGACAAAATTTAGATATTCTAAATACTAATTAGGCTGTCCAATTAGTTCTGGCACATAAGTTTCATATCCTGGAAGGCTGGAACTGCTATAGAAAAAAAAATCTTGTACTCTTTGATGCATAATTAATATTGTTGGTGGGTGCATTCAACTAAACTTTCCCTCTTAGTTTTTTTCCCCCCTACTTTACTTCCTTTTGAAGGACTCATTGGAGGTAAGGAAATTATGTTTCACAGATTCTAAAGGAATTAAAACTTCAAAGAGTAAGAAGAAAAACAGAAGAAGAAAAGAGCTGCAAAAGAACAGCTCTTCAAATGAGGACTCTAAAAATAATAAGGTCTGGATCTTTCCATTTCTCTGTTTTCTTCTTCTTTTTACTGTCAAGTTACTAAATTTTCTACATTTTTTAGGAGTCAGATGGTCTCAGTTCTGTATGCCGTAATGCTGAGTCTGGTAAGAAACTTTGGCCCAGTATAGGTGACACTTCAAATTTACAAGATGTTGAAGATGACATTTTTACAAATAAGAATGAGTTTGATGATGGTGACGTTGATGATGAGATTGATCCAGCATTAAAGGAAGAAATAGATAGGTAACCCATTCTCTCACTTAATGCTTACATTGAAAGGTGGTTTGTTCAAACAGCATATTTTGTTTTGTAATTTGTGTGCATTTCATTTGCTTCTGAGGTTACATAATTTTGTGAACCTAAGATCAGCCTGGGATTTGATAATTTCAGAAGCTTTCAAACCAGTAAATCCCCGTGCTGGTTTTTTGTTTCATGTATTATCCAAAATTTCCCAGTTTACTATCAATCTATTGCATGAAATACAAAGTGAAAAATGGGCTCTATTTGAAACATTAGGATCTCTATAGTATCATATCTCTATCTTGGGTTGACATTTATTCTATTTAGAAAGAAATTTACTTGTCACATGATCTTTCATGTATCTTTTGATCAGGGAGGTTGAAGACTTTGCCCGTAGATTGAATTCAGACTGGCCTGAGAGGATGCAGGAGATTCTTTCGTTGGGTCAGGAAAGGAATCCAGCAAACTGTACCATTAATGGCGATGGTTCCGTAAAAAGATATGAAGGTATGTATGATGCTCCCCCTTATATTGTTATATAAATTTTTTGTAGGGGCCGTCTTTAACCCTCAATCCCCTCTTTTCCGTTTTTCTCAACTCTTTCTTTCTCCCTAGTGCCTCAACTATTTCCATCTATTGTTGATTTCCATCTCGAAAGTACTCTTGATTGATGAACTAGAGACAGCCAGCAGAGTATATGCTGTATAGGATTTGAGCTTTGAGCCAAATAACTAACAAAAGTATTGGTTTGCATGGAGAAAACCAGATACAGAGCAAAAGTGAGTTTGCAGTAAGGATGCCCCCTCAGATTGGTCTGGGGCCCAAACAATTTTGTTCATATGCTAATTCAGGAGTGGGTGAAGGTAACCTAGAAGAGTTGGGATCCCATCAATGTGGATCCCCATGAAAGAATTTTTTTTTTTTTATTTTAATTTTTCCCTTCTTTTGTGGTTAGCCAGATGCAATTTTCATTGGGGGAAATCTCTTGTATTTTCAACAAGGAAAAGGAATAAGAAGAAAACCGTGTTTCATTGATCCAATTGACTTTCCTTGGGTTGCTTGATTATACCCATAGCTGGTGCTTTTCTTTTGCAAAACTGATTGATATGGTCGCCTCAATGCATTTTTTTGCTAATTTAAAATTTCTGACTTTCATCCAAATACCAAAGCAAACATTATATCCTTGAGATCATCTTGAATTTGAATTAACAGGCACCATAAAAAGGTTCTAAGAAATAAGAATAATTAACAAGATAGCCGTAAAAAATATTAGTTTTGTTTGCACTCTCTGCAGCTGACCCTGCACGCCACGATATAATGTGAAATCTAGACAGATTTCGAACTTATTCAGTGTGAAAGAGAAATCCAATGGTCGATTCTTTGCAGCTTCGTTGTTTCACCTACTATTTTGAATTAGAGGCCAAAATATCAGCTTTTTTTTTTCCCCTATGAGATAACACGATAGAAACAAACGTATCGGATTTTTTTTTTTTTTTTTTTTGATAAGAAATGTATATGATAATTACAGGCATGAAAACTCGTTTTATTTTCGAACAATTAGATTTCATACAATTAAAAATACAACTTTTCAAAATAATTTTATTTGAGGATATGACCTTAATTTTTTTTTAATGAAAGCTATTACTTTTAAAAAAAAATTAATTGAGAATATGATGTTTATGATTTTATTAAAAAAATTAATTAGATGTATATAATTATATCTTAATTAAAAAATTTAAAAAGTAATAACTTTAATTA